TTATTCAACATGATCCATGGTTTCAAATAGTATTTGTTTTAAGTAAGATTAATTCGTTTATTATTACGTTTGAATAAAAGTGTACAACTTACTCAATGTATTTTTTATATAGGTTTAATCGCTATAATTATTATTCTCCTTCAAACGATCAATTCAATAATTTGTCATAGAAATTTTGGAAATAATTTGGTATTTTATTGTGAGCATCTAATGATACATATTTATTTTTGATTTTGATTTTTTATTTCTTAGTGAAATACCAAGAGTTCACTTCAGAATTTGAATCTTGCGATGGTCTCCCGATTCAAAAGATATCGAATGAGGGTAATTAAAAACGTTGCTTATTATACGATAATTAGAGCAAAGGTGTGGTTGTATTGTAAATGGTTCTGTTGAAATTATACTTTGCATGTAAAAAATTTAAAAAAAAAAAAGATAATTCGAACGCGTTATTAGATTCCATGAAATAAAAATTTATTGTATAATTGTAAGTTTTTAGGTGTATCTCAGGAACGAATATCTATTGCTAAATCAATATTCTCAGTTAGCTTACTGTATATTGTTGCAATGTACTTTCATTTCATTTTCGTTTACCAAATCTTTTTAATCAATGTAAAGAATTACACCTAAACTTTGACTGTAGCTTAGTTGGTTTTCAAAATTTATTGATGATTCCAAAATGCGAATTAATATATTGTCGGAATGCTATATAAATTAAGTATTAATTATTAACTGCAAGGTTATTCTTTCTTGAACGACTTCCGATGAGATTATTTCATTGATCATAGCAGTAGCGTTAATCCTTAAACTTTAAGTCACGCCAATAATTCAATATCAAAGTCTGAAGAAAATTCCAATGTTTTGTCTACAAGAAGTTCTATGCAGGTTTAATATTCACCTTAAGAAAAATTGCGAACAGATTTTACCGTTGGTAAAGAAGTCAATTTTGCCGGTTCTGGAAGCATGGAAGAGAAACTTAATAAGGCGAGCAATAACCCTGACCTTGTTTCACGATTGATAAGAAGTAGCACCTTGTAAAGCCTATTATTGAATATGTTGTTATATTTTGTTGTTATCGTTATAATAAATTAATATTAGAAGATATGGGCTTTTGCAGTAAATAAATTTTACTAAAAATGATTTTTTTTTAGTAAGCCAGCCCAGATTTAACGTTAACGTTAACATTAACTCAAAAAATTACAAATTTGGCTAAATCAAAACTTTTAATTTTAATGGATTTGATAGTTTT